ATTGATTTTAGAGAGAGAGAGATAGAAACATCGATGAGAGAGAACATCGACTGGCCGCCTCCTGCGTGCCCCCCACTGGGGATCGGGCCCACAACCCGGGCATGTGCCCCGATCGGGAATCGAACCAGTGACCTCTTGGTGCATGGGTTGATGCTCGACCACTGAGCTACACCAGCCGGGCTCTCCCTGGCTTCTTACAGGCAGGGGTCCTGAAAGCTAAAGTAGGCCATCTTTATGAGCCCTTGGCATGTGCCAGACCGCAGTGCTAGGCATGGCTCCCGTGGGTCTAAATAGCAGCTTGAACGGCAGCTCCGTGAGGGCTGCCTGGTATACCCCTGTTCTCCAGCCCGAGGACAGGGTCGGGCATAAGGTGCTCGAGAAAGATGTAGTGACTCAGCTACCTTTGAGGCAGGGACTCTTGTAGCCTCACTTTCAGCTGAAGAAGCTGAGGCCGAGAGAGGTGACCCCGCCAGGTCACGTCGCAGTAAGTGACAGAGGCAGCTTCAAACCCGAGGCTCGCCGACCCTGCCCGTCTTGGATGCCGTAGGTTTCATCTTCCCCGAGCCTAGCCGGTGTCGCGCAGGCAGTATGTGCTCCGTCACTACCTGACGGTGGCTGTGGAACAGGGACAGGGACCGGGAGAGACCTAGGGTCAGAGTGCCCGGCAGAGCTCTGGGGCCAGGCCGGGAGCGGTGTCGTCTTTCTGTGCACCTGTCTGCCCCGCCAGGTGCTGCCTCGCCGAATTGAGCCCTGAACTGGCAAAGGCCAGGTGAGACGCTGCCAGGCACCCCTCTCGGCACCCTGGAGAAGTCTTCTTGCTGACTCCTTGGCCAGAACCACTCCTCACCTCGACTTCTGAGGCCCTTAGACGGAGGGGGAACAGACTTGGCCACCAACCTGGTCCCCTTTTCCTGGGGAGAGGACGAGTCCTGCCAGGAAGCCCTGGGCACCTCTGCCTCTGGGAAACGGAGGGATCTCGTCCTCCTGTGGAGTCTCGGGGGGGGGGGGGCTGGCTACTCCCCGGAGGGAGCCCTCAGAGAGGAAGGCGGGGCCCCCTCCCATCCCAGTGAGGCCAGGTCTGCCCCAGTTTCTGAGATGGGAAGAGAGGGCACGCTGGGCATGGGATCACACCGGGCAGCACCCGGCTTAGGAGCCGAGGGCCTGGGCAGGGAGGTCTGAGCGGGGGAGAAGCCAGCTTATTTATTTATTTATTCACTGAAAAATGTTCCCTGAGCCAGGGCTCGTGAGAACAAGGTGGGAAAACCCCTTTCCTGTCCCCAAAGGGCTGGAGCCTCCCTCTTGACCCTGGACAGACTTTTCAGGACTCAGGCCAAATTCCAGAGCCTGTCCAGAGACTGCTCCGCTCCCGGTGCTGGTGGCCACCCCCATCTGCCACCTGCCTGCCTTGGGGTGCTGGCTCCTTCCCGAGGCTGGGGTAGGCAACCTACCCGGGCTGTTGCTTCGTTCCGACCCGGCATCTGCTGGATGGTGCGGGGCCCCCTCATTGTCCCGCTAACCACTGTGTAAAAGTTTCGGGCTTCCGTTGACCTTTCTGTTTTGCCTGGTTATGCTGTGGCTGTCCCACTGACACGCACCCCCGGCATCATTGCCAGGGTAACTGCTCGGCCCCTTTCTCCCCGGCCCCCCCCCTTGCATTTCTATTCTCTCTGTCTTTTCCCCTCTATTCCTCCCTCCCTCTCTCTCTCTCTTTCTCCCTCTCTCTTTTTTTCACTCTTTTAACATGGTTTTCCTAAAAAGTTTTTTAATCAATCAAATTTGAGGCAGAAAATAGGTTTTGTCACGCCTGGTCCCGGGGTGGTGTGGCTCTCACTCAGGCTCCTGACAGCCCCTCAATGCAGGAAGGAGGCCAAACAGAATATTTCTTGGGGAAAGTGCCCGTTTCCATGACACTGCCCCTTGTCTGCGCTGCCCCCTCCTCGGGCTGCCGGGCTGACACGGTCTCAGCCCCTGTGAAAGCGCCGCCGGCCGGGGAGAGGGTGTGTGTGAGCAGGGGGGAAGGGGCAGGGCAGTGCTGGGGGTAGATGGGCTCGACAGACAGCTGCCCCAGCTCCCCTGGCCTGAGAGGGTTGGGAGCAGGTAGGCCAGGGGCGCGGAGCCCGGCCTGGTGCTGCATAATCAGCTGCGCCTCATAAATATGGAGCCTGGGAGCCCGGGTGAGACTCTCAGAAGCCAAGTCCTGGGATGTTGGTGGCTCCACGGAGGGGACCGCAGATGGATGAGGCCTCTTCGGGTCCTGGTACGCCGGTCCCAGCAGCTTCTTCACCCTTCCCTTGGCCCCCTCTCCTCCCCTGGCCCGCCCTCCTGCCCCTGGCTGGGCAGCCCCCTCTCCACCATCTCTGCCTTCCTTCCTGCGTCCCTCCCTCCACTCAGGCGAGCCGCTGGTCCCTCCCAGCTCCCGGGCCCACCACCCCCACTTCCAGCTCCCTGCGAGCTCCCTGGGTCTTCCCTCTCTCTCTGCCCCACTTTCTCTCTTCCTCCTTCCCATCTCCATCTTTCACCCTCTCCTCTCTCTTCTTGCTCTCCTTTATAAGTAATGATTAGTTTTAATTGGTTTGCTTAGGCAGCCTAACAGCAAATTAACAGAAGCCAGCCCAGGGCTTCCAGGCTCCAGTGAGAGACCACCGTGCTCCGGGCCAGGCCTGGCCAGGGGAGGGCATGGGCAAGGCTGACCCGCGGACTTTCCCTTGGCCTGTGGGCTGCCTGGGCGAGCTCTCAGAGGGAGGGGCCGGCCACACCTGGACGGGCGGGCGCAGCGGCCAATGGGGAGAAGGCAACAGGATCTCCGCACACTTTGGGGCTCATGTTTGTCAAGGTTCCCTGAGTTCTTATTCTCCCCCCTTTCCGTGTTCTTGTTCAGCGGCAGGACAGTTCGCATCTTCAGAGATTAGGGTCCGGTAAATGAGGGCGGGGTCCTGCCTTTAGACTGGGGCAGGGCTTGATTTGATCCATCGTCCTTGCTTGTGCCATGAGCAGAGCTGGTTAGCAGCTCGACACCCCAGGGGTGGACATCCTGCTTTGTCATGTGGACAGGAGGGAGTGGTCACAGGCTGTTGTTAGCTCAGCTGTCTGCCCACACTCAGCCACCACAGCCTGGAAGCTCCGGGGCCCGGTTCTGGTTCTAATTTGCCGGGTACTTCTACAAAGAACTCAACTTCTTGGTCCTCAGTTTTCTGGTCAGGGTACTTAAGATAAACAACACTGGATGGATGGATGGATGGATGGATGGATGGATGGATGGATGGATGGATGAATGGATGGGCAGATGGATGGATGGGCGGATAGATGGATGGACAAGTGGATAGATGGGTGGGTGGACAGCTAGCAAAGAATGGATACATTGGTCATGCTTCCTGAGCATGTGACTTCTTTTTCTAGCCAGTAAGGGTGTGCTTAACGTCACCCTTCCTGCGTGTAGGGGCTCCTGCCCTCCGTGTTCTCCTGCTCTGTACCCTTCCCTGGCCTCACAGAACCCTTCCTTAACTACAGCAGCTGTCTCGTTCTTTGCCGGGTCCTGGGTGTGCCGTCACTCACTCACTCACTCACTCACTCACACAGGACAGTGAGAGGCACAGAGAGACGGGAGACGATGCTGGGGCAAGAATAGAGATGAAGTCGAACTTGTCAGGTCCCCACTGGGGTTCCCAATCCCACCCAGATGCAATCTCTCTGTTCCCATCAGCCAGGTCACCTGCCCCGGGGGCGGGCGAGGGACCGAACCCGGTTCACGTCCCGGTCCCCACGCGGTAAACACGCCTGCCCCTCCCTCGCCCTCCTCCACCCCAACCAACTCCTGGAAAGTTTCCTCCCTGATTGTTCTGTGTGATCAGATCTGCAAGTTGCTCTCTAAGCTTCTTGTCACATTTTGACTTAATGAAGTGCAACTGCTGAGGGATTTGGGTTCAGCGCTCCGGTCTCCCGCTTTCCCTTGTTGTCAGAAAACAGGGTTGGTTGGGGACGCAACGCTGCGCTGCAAGTCGTTATCATTCCGGTCAGTCTGTTTAACACAAAATTAAACAAAGAACTAATTAGTGCCTCATGAATTAATAAATGCACAGTTGCCGGGGAGGATGGGAGGGGAGAAAAAGGTGGTGGAAGGGAGATACTGGAGTTGTGGAGTTGGGGGGCTTTGGGGGTTCAAGGGAGGCTAGCCAGGGCGCCTGGAGAGATCTCAGGCAGGCGAGTGTGGGATGGACAGGACAGTGATGCCGCCCTGCCAGGTCCCTGGGCTGGCTGGCTGGGATGTGAGCTCTGACAGCCAAGCCCGCCCAGCGCCGCTCAGTGGAGCCCGGGATCTCCATCCTTGCCCCGTGGCCCAACCCCGCGTGGCCTCCACTTCCTCCAGCTCTCCTCTCCCACTTCCTCCCCTTTCCACTCTTCCGACCTCTGCCCCCTACCACTTTGGCATGGCTCCCCCTTCCTCTCTGCTGCCCCCTGTGTCAGTCAGCCCAGCTCTCTGCGGACCCCCAGCTTCTCACCATCTGGATCGGATGGGCAGAGCTCAGAGGCCCACGGGGCAACCCTCCCCAACTGCCTGATGCCCACCAGAGCTCTGTGTCCGGCAGAGTGGGCTCTGCCCTGGTGGGCACCCTCTTCCCAGGCAACCCAGCAAAGGCAGCCAAAGCTGGCAGAAGACCCAGCCCTCCTTAGGAGGCCGTGTCAAGTACAATTAATATTATCTGTCTAAATATGTCCTGAGAAGGGCAGGCGGGCAGCAGGCTTGGGCGGCATTCCGGGAGCCCTGAACAAGGTCACCTCACCTCTCTCAATCCCCCAAGCTGATTCGGGGATTACACAGCCTAAAGAAATTGGTGTTATTCCTCCTGCATCATTGATAAGCCAGAAATGAAGGGGTGGGGAGGAAAACCCGTAATATAGAGAAAACTCTTTCCTGATGTGGGTTGAGTTCTGAGGCCCAGGGGTGGGAGCGGGGCTGGGTGGCAGGGCCTGGCTCAGGGAAGGGGAGGGGGGCCCAGGTCAGCAAGCAGAGGGTTGGTTGGGCTTTCCATCCACACAGGGAGCCTGTCCCATCTGACCCTGGCCCTCCGAGCTCACCCTGAGGAGGGCCTGAGCCAGGCAAGCTGGGCCGAGTAGTGCGTTGACGAAAGACCTACATTCTCGCAGCATCTACCCTCTCCTAAGTGGGCCCACTGGGGGTTGTTGTGACTCATGGGTAGGACCCCAGGGTGGAAGGTGCTGTCAGCAGCCCGTTTCTGGGAGTTGAGGCTTCTCAGTGCTATGACCCCTGGTCTACCCTTGACCCTCTGGCACCCACTTGCTTGGCATCCGTCATTTTTATTTTCAGGGGCCAGGGGAAGAGAGTAAAGGAGTGGGTGCTGCTGGATTCTGTCACTGTCCCCAGGCCCCAATGCTCGGGATCACCTCCACCCACATACTCTCATCTCTGCCTCTGATCCATCTCTGGTTAGGGGCGTCCTGAGGATCATATTCCCACTGTGATCAGCCCTTGACAAAGTCAGTGCCCACTCAGTGTGTCTGAATGTTTGACCCTTTGGCTGGCCCTCGAGCACCAGCCCCTCGGCCAGAGGTGGCAGGGAGCCCTCGGGCACACAGCAGAATGGCGGGTATCCTGCCTCCAAAGGCTAATGGGCTCCTCTCTCTCCCTCCTCAGGATGAAGTGACGCCCCTACTGCAGAAGAGGAGCCTCTAGGACCCGCTACAAGGTAAGGCCTGAGCTCCTCCCCGATCCTGTGTCCTCTCTCCCAAGACAGGTAACCCCTGGGCTGGGTGTGCTCATGGTGAGTATCTGGGAAGGGTTGGGAAGGTGCAGACCGAGAATTGGAGTCACGTGGCCCATTTGAACCTGGTGGAAAAGATGACCTCAGTAGGAACGTGTCAGATTGGCTCTTAAGCTGGAAAGGTCTGGGAACACCTGGATTGCGTCTCGGGGCACTGAATGTGTTCACGACAGCGTGGGGCAAAGCGGCATCTGTGATGCCAGGGCTCGATTACCCCGTGGCACCACGCACCACTCTCTGCAGCTCGGCGTTCCTGCTGTGGTGGCTGCTGCCGGCCCTCCCTGGTGCTCTGCTTGTAGCTGGGTGCGTGGGCAACCTCGCTGGCATGAAAACCCTCTCCCCGAGGAGGCTGCCGGCCCCCAGTGGCCTCTTTCCTCCATGAGAGGCTGGCAGGGAGGAGGTCTGAGGCCCTGAGGCCCTGAGCCCAGAGCAGGCTGCTGTCTTGCCCTTCCCCAGGCCCAGGGCTCCCCAGGCACGGCTGGGTCTTCACAGGCTGTCTCAGACCCCGAGTGGCTCCAGGAACCTCGGGGCCACCGGGCCTAGGCCCCAGGCAGCGCCGTGTCAGAGGTGACCGGTGGAACGCCAGTGTTATGTAAATAGAGGGGCCTGCCCGGCAGGCGAGCTGGCTGGCTGCAGCCATCCATCATCCTTGCTCGGCGGGGCGGGGGACAGACACGGCACCGTGCGCCTGGCTCCAAACCTGTTTGTTTTCCCTTTGTCTCACGCATTTGGGCCGCCTGCGACTGGCTCCGGGTTTTGTCCTGCTGGCCCCCTCCCCCTGGAGGAAGGGGGGAAGGGAGGAGACTCGAGAGGCTCCCACCGCGGCATCCCTTTTGGACTTCAAAGGCTCCCCCAGCATTGTCTGTGCCGGCGGGCAGTGGCCCTGAAAACGTGATCAGAGGCGGCCAGTGTAGGGCAGGCCCGGCCCGCGCCCTGCGCTCTCGCTGGGGCCCGTGGATTCCTCCCTTTGCCACCAGCACCACCCTGGTTACAGCTCTGCTCCCCGGGCCTCTGTCCTCGCCTTCCTCTCCCCTGGCATCCCTGCTGACCAGCCCAGCCCGCTGCCCTTCTCCCGGCCTCTCAGCCACAGCCTCACACCTCTCTCATGGCATCGGGCCACCTAGAATGTGGGGAGCTGCAAGTCTCCACCCTTCATATCATCCAGGAGAATCTGAAGCACAGTGAAGGGCCTCTTGGGGTGATGGGAGCTGGGACAAATGGGTTCCTGGACATCCGTGTCCCATGCCAGTGCTTGTTCTTGTTCCTTTCTTTTTCTCCATCCTCTCCTGGTAAGGAGAAGCTGACTTTGTCCTGAGGCTTCTGCCCATCCCTTTCCTCCACTTCTTGGCAAGGTCCTGATTGGACAGTTCTGTCCCCCAAACAGTGGGAGGGAGCCTGGTATCTCTGATCCTGGAAGTCATCCCTGCGTGTTTTCATTCTCTGGAGCAAGACTTGGCAAAGTACAACCCGTGGGCCAAATGTGGCCCACTGCCTGTTTTTATAAATAAAGTTTTATTGGAACACAGCCATGCCCACTCCTTTTTCTATTGGCTGTGGCTGCTTTCACTCTACAATGGCAGAGCTGGGGAGCTACAACAGAAGATGTTTGCCTGCAAAGCCTCAAGTATTTACCATCTGGCCCTTAACAGAAAAAGTTTGCTGGCTCCTGCCTTCTGCTCTTTTTTTTTTTTTAAGTGGTAATATACAAAACATGAAATTTAACATTGTAACCATTTTTAAGTTCCGCGGCATTAAGAACTTTCACAATGTTGTACAAACCTCATTCCTCCCTGTCTTCCGTGGGATGGCTCTGAGGGCCCCGGCTGTTGTCTGAGTGTACTGCCCTGAGGTTGGAGGCTCAGGACAGCCCTGACCTATGGGAGCCGCCCCCTCTCCCTCTTGTCCGTAGGGCCTCATCCCCTGCTCAGTCCCACCTTCCGAGAAGTCCCCACTTGTCTTCTCCTCGACAGCCACTGTTTCCTCAGACCTCTTGCTCCCGGCACCCCCTGTGTCTCCACCCTGTAGCCTTTAGCAGATTCTCAGCTCCACCATTCTCTCTTCCTTAAGTTGAGCGGAGTATCGACTTTGCGGGGTTGAGACAAGTAAATGAGTTAATGTAGCCAAAGGTGTCTAGCCTGAGGCCTGACAAGTAGCTGGTGCCCATGACCCTCCTTCTCTCCAGCCTTCCCTCCTCCTCCCCCTGGGCAGGTTCCATGGAGGTCCCCACCCCTGCCCCAACCTTCGGAGTCTGGCGGCCCCCTGGGGCCTCCACGGCTGCTGCCGGGGCCTGGGTCGCTGCAGAACCTCTCTGGGCAGCAGTGTCTCCATCTGTAAAAGGGTCCTGACCACCACACTCTTCCGTCACAGGTTGTTGCAAGTAGAAACTGGGACACCGCGGGGAAGCTGTGCAGGTTGTGTCAGGGGTGCTGCGGCTGCCAAGAGGGAAGCAGGTGGGCTCCTGCTCAGCAGGGGGACCAAGGCGCTCTGGCACGTTACTGCTGCTGTGAGCTCGTGCGGGAGCCAGGCTGCAAGCCCCAGCCCCCGAGGAAAGGCTGGCAGGGAGAGAGGTCGGGGGAGGGGAAGGAAATGAAGCTGGGCAGCCGTCAGAGGTCTGAGACGGGAGCTGCGTCCTAGCACGGTTCACTGGCCACCCTCTCCTGCTGCTTCTGCTGCTGTCTCCCTACTGTCCCTCTTCATGGGCGCCTGGCCTTCGGTGCACCTCTTTTCCCCTCCAGCCTTCTCTCTGCATCTCACTAGTTTCTCTTCCTCCACGCCTTCCCACCACCCAGACTGCTACACCCCAACTCCATAGTTCTCTCTCTCTCTCTCTCTCTCTCTCTCTCTCCTTTTCATCTACTCCGAAGGCTTTACTTTACTTCCTTGTCACCCTAATTGATTGCATTAACCTTTCAGCGTATTGGATTTCCTCGGCATCGTGCAGAGAGCCCTGCGCAATATGCTTATAATCTGAGCCGTAATGGACAGTTTGCAGTCAACAAGCCCCTTCTCCCATCTCTGCCATCGGTCCCGTTGACATCTCTCTTGCCCAGGCTATCGTGGCCACTTCCCCTGCCAGCAGGGGTGGGGCAGTAGAATAGGGCAGGAAAGAAGCAGACACAGCTTGATCCCCCCATGGCCTTCCCTGCCTCCTCTCCTGGCTCTGCCTCCCGCCCTGCCTCTGCTTGTCCAAGCTCCTGGGCCGGCTGGGTCCCTGCCAGGCCTCTGGTCTTCAAGTCCTCTCAGCTCGGCGCTCTGCTTCTGGGACTCTGCATAATGAGTGGCTGCTGGGCCCAGCTTGGATCTGGGGACTAAGAGTCCCCTGGCTCCACCAAATAGTTCTCAGAGCAAACCGAGCTCTCCTGCTTGCCTGGGAGGCTTTGGGGGAAGGACAGTGGTGACCAGGAGGTGGAGGGTGGCCGAGAAGAGAAGTCTGAGCCATGTGGGTTTGCCTGGCCCCCAACTGGAGGCCTCTGTGGACCTTCTGGAAGCTGGGCTCACTCTTGGAAAGGGTGTGGGAGCACAGGGGAGACAGAAAGAAGGGGATCTTCTGAAGTCAAGGGAAGAGAGAGACAAAGACCCTGCTGGGTCTGGCCATGGGCACTGGGCAGCAGCAGCCTCTCCCAGTGGGCACTCAGATGCCCAGTTTGGACCCTGTTTCCCACTCTGGTCCCGGGGTCGTGATCTGGGTGCTCCGTGGGAGATGTCGCAAAGTCTCTGTTTCCTGTCTGGTTTGGAGTAGCTTTGGACAGGATCACCTGCCTTCATCAAGGGAAGAGACGTGATAAGCCACAGAGCAGCGGGCTGGAGAGCAGGACAGCTCGGCCTGACGGAGGCTGGGAGGGGAGGCAGGAAAGGATGAGAGCTGGCTTCTCGGCTTGGTAAGAATGAGCGTCCTCCAGTTGGTTCCCTGATGGGCACCTGCTTGTCTAGCAGAAGGCGAAGGAACCGGCCCATGCCAGCTGCCTGGTCCTGGGAGCTCAGTGAGTCCTGGCCTGTAGGTCCTGGCTGGGGCTGCCAGCCCTCAGTGCACAGTCTGGTCTGCTAAGTCTTCATTCATAACAGGATGGATGTCGGTTGAATACATTAATGTCAGGCCGGAGGAGCAGGCCGGAAGGTCCCCTAGCCCTGGTACTTTCTCTCTCTCACACTGGTCTCTATCCCTGACCCCGCCCCCATCATCTTCTACGTCTGACCAACCCCCCCGCCCCCCAGCCATCACTCCATCACGCCGAAGGGCAAGCTTTGGCAAGAGGAGGCCAGACTAGGTCCTTCCTATCCTCTCCCAGGGATTTTGGGGGTGGGCAGAGGGCGCAGCAGGGAGAAGACAAGCAGCGAATTAAAGTTTGGTGATTGTCAGTGTCAGGAGAAGCTAAATAACCCTGTAACTAGTATGAAGGTGAATTCACGGTCTGCTGCACATGGAAAATATGAGTGTTCTGTGAGACGGGGAGAGTGAACGGCAGCCTGCCCGCCACAGTGGGCAGCCTCCTCTCCAGGGACCCGGGCCGCGAGGCAGGAGGAGGGCCATGCCCTCTCCCATCCCTGCCAGGGAGCAGCCACCCAGGAGCCCCGAACAAGTATGAGGGCATCTCAGCTGCTTGACAGCCTACTGGCTGGGCACCAGGGACCCAGGTAGACGCTTGTAAGCACTCAGCAGTATACATTCACGGGCACCAGCCCAGGCCCTAGGCCAGCCGTCCTCCCAGGTCCACAGCAGGCACTAATCACTAATTCTCATTGAGCACTTCCTCTGTGCCAGGCTCTGTACTGCGCCCTTATGACAACTCGATGCAATAAACGCTACTATTATTCTCCCTTTTGCCCCACTTTTAAAACAACCACTTTATTGAGACATAATTTACATGCAAGTGTATAATGCCCCAGATTGTGTGGCCGTCACCACTGTCTAACTGATATTTTCATCA